ACCTATTATATCAAAAATGAGCATGATTTTGTACTATAAGAACTTGCCAAAATTAAAAAAACAGCATAAATATTATATGGAAGATAACTGGACTATCTATAGTCAACTAAATTTAAAAACAATGGCTACAATAACAACTGCACAAGCTACAACTAGAGGTTATTGAAATGCTATCGGTTTAGTCTGCTGATTAATAATGGTTAGTTATTAATTGATAATCATAAATATTATAGAGCGGATTTCGTATGAGTGGGACACCGTTACCGCACGGTTACCGCACAGTTACCGGACCTGGCCTGCACTATTTTGGTGAACCAATGGGGCACTAGAATTTGGTTACAGTACGATTACGGTCACAGTACAGTACCGTTCATTTCCCACTCATACGAAATCCGCTCTATGGAAGATAACTGGACTATCTAGTCAACTAAATAAACAATGGCTACAACAACAACTGCACAAGCTACAACTAGAGGTTATTGAAATGCTATTGTTTTAGTCTGCTGATTAATAATGATTAGTTGATAATTGATAATCATAAATATTATATGGAAGATAACTGGACTATCTAGTCAACTAAATAAACAATGGCTACAATAACAACTGCACAAGCTACAACTAGAGGTTATTGAAATGCTATTGTTTTTGCTGATTAATAATGATTAGTTGATAATTGATAATCATTAATGGTTAACTACTATCAGTATTATACATATTAAGTTGTCATAATTATAATAATCATTGTTATTGATTATCCTCAATACAAATTTTCAATTTATTATTATATTATAGAACCAAGGGGGCACAGAAGAAGGACTTTTTGTACTTAACATTGGCTCTCAATTGAAGAAACATGCTCGGAACAGAGCTGTTAAAGGGACACTGTCAATGGATGACATGTGCAGTAACTAGAAGAATAGAATAGAAGCTTTATTTATGTACATGGTAGCAAAAAATTGCTAAATTGCGTACAATACTAACTAAAAAATATGTGATAATAATAATAATAATAATAATAATAATAATAATAATAATAATAACTAACGGACTTTGAAAGTATTACCTTCGAGGTAAATCATTTTGTGGTGCTTTTGACACACTTTGGAATATTCTAGATCTGTTTACGTTTATAAGCTGATTTATGTCGCGCCAACTTGGAGTCATAAACTTGAAAACACTAGCCTAGTGTTTTCAAGTTTACTCGCGCATGCGTGCCATTGACAGTGTCCCTTTAAACACGGTCAGCAGATATAAACATTCAAATATTCAAAATGGTGACTGGTATATGATCGTTTGAGCTTCAAAACATTCAATGATAGGGTACAAACAATCTGCTGTGCTCCCTCAATTGAAAACAATTTTAATCTGCAAACCAGAAATAATAGTTTGAAAATAGAATCATGCTTATTCCTTTGTTTACTATTGTGTGCAACACTTTGCACTAAATTACTTTCAAGAGTGGATTATCTACTCCATAGACTTTGAATTCTTAGATTTYATCCACTACATCAGCCCTGTCAGAATGCATCCTGCTTTTTAGTTTTTTGATAAATTTTGTTTCCAATATGAAAGTAGGGAGAGTGGACTGATATAT